AAGTGTTGTGACACTAATGTTTGAGAACTATGGGTACCCTTGCTTTCAGTTTAGCTTTCTACAGAAAAGGCCTGTATCATTATTATTATATCATCTAAAATAGATATCTAAACATACATCATTTCTTAGGTCACCAAAAACAACCTAAAAATATTCAGCATTAGCTAAGACATACCATACATAGATTAGCAAAAACACAGATGAAATGACTATTGACATACTGTCTGACTATAAACAAAGAAGCTGTTGGAATCAGGGCCCCTCTTCTCCTCACTGAGAGTGGAAACCATGTGAAAGCTCCAAAGCAGTTCCTAGGGAGTCATGGCCACAAATTTCCAGAGGGAGAGGGAAGACCATAAGGGCATGTAACCATTCTCTTCCTGCCACAGAACCTCAAAGAGAAACACAGGAAACCTAAAAGGTAAAGATGAGGCCAAACCACCTTCAGATCCATCTAGCCTCTATATTAGCCCCAGGCAAATCAAACTTGCAGATTCATGGGGAGAGAATGGTAGGTCCCTCTAGCTGCTCAAGAAAATGAAACCCAGAGTTTCCATATCTATTCTCAATGCTCTGTGGAGCTCAGGAACCTCATGAGCTTTCCTCTCTTGACTTTCCCTGCCACGATGGAAGGCTGTGAAGCTACAAAAATCAGAACTTAGAAGGAAAAAAAGAAAACAGATTGCTTCAAAGTTCCCATCCTGTGAAAGCTGGAAAATGCTGGAATTAGACTAACTCAGTCATGCTACTTGAGCATGTAGGGGCATAAAGTTCAGATGTAGTCTATCACTGACAGTGTTTATTAAGTGTATTCTATTTAACGCACAAAACCTCCCTGGTCCCTTGCTAAAACATAACTTTGGAAAGTCCTCTCCTATTTCAACATCTTGCCAATGATTGCTGAATGGATTTTTAAAAAAATATTCATGCCTTACTTTCCTTCTCAATTCATTCCTTACCAGAATCTCAGGTCTCTGCAAGAATTCTGTGTTCTCTAAAATCATAAAAATTGCTTCAGAAGTTTTTCCAGTGATTGTCCAACCTGTCTCTCAGTCCCATGGAAATTCTTCGCAAAGACGTTGCTTTTGTCTTGTCTGGAACAAATTCCTTCACAGATGGACCATCCAATATCTAAGAATAACTCTTTTAACTATCAATAGAGACAAAGAGATTCAGTTGCACTGTTCCCGTGGGATTCCTTTGAGTTTGGACACATCTGTTAAGATGCATACATCAGAGCTTGAATGAAGTTTTTGTCTGATTGTATCTCTGAGAAAGTTTCTGCCAAAATGATCTTATCTCTTAGCACTTGTAGAACATATAAAGTTATAGATGCTTTCTGAAATGCTCCCAAAATAAGTGGCCTATACAGATCAACTCTGTTTAAATACAGCCAAGTCCTGATGACTTTCTTCCTGTCAGTGAAATCTTCAGAAGCTTTACCTGAGGCAGTTCAGCGTTTGAACTAGAACCCTACCAGCTTTATGCATTCTCTATCCACAAGCAAGGAAACACGTGAAAAACTGCGAATAGCACAAATCACATTTGCTTTCCTTTGCTTTTTTGTAACCTTTCCAGAAACTGCGCTTGTCCTTGCAGCTTTTTGCACAAACACCTTTCTTTTGGGTAAGCAGCTACATCTGTTTGTGACAGCTGAGTAGCTAGAGGTATAACTCAGCTGGAGCTCTATCAGCTTACTCTATCACTTAACTCCAAATTAACTCAAAGTGGTGCTTTTTATCTGCCAAGCCCTCCATGAAAACAGTTACCTCAGGAAGACCTCTTCCCCTAGATTGTTTCTCCAATTGCATTGCCTGAATTAGCATTTCCTAAGACTGAAGGAGATGGAACTGGACACAATGCATCCTACGTTCTGGATTTTGCTTCAAGGATTCATCTGTGCTAGAAATGTAAAGCTCAAATCCAGAATGTTAGGACTCAGACCCAGTCCTACAAGTGTGAGAAATAATACAATTTCATTTGGAATAAGTGGCACCAGAAACAGCATGTAGAACATGCTATGCTAAACAATTAAACCCTAAATTAAACTGGGCGTCACATATGACTTCAACCAGGGGATTTTTTGCTAAGCATTCATATCAGTAAGAGTGGCATTCCTACTATTGCTTAGGCTTTCTTCACCTCTGCCTTTTACAGCTGAGGAGCAGATGGCTAGCATAGAGTTTTTACTTCCTATGCTTTGAAAAACTATTTTGATCTGAATCATTCCAAAAGCACCCTGATATTTTAAAGTAGATTGGCTTCTGAATAATTCTCATAATAAATATGTGGTGTTGTTTTCTGCCAAGCACTAGTGACTGTGCATGCAAAATGGTCAGTGAAGATTTCAAACTGATTTAAATAGGTGGCCCACAAAATCCAAGTATTATGTCCAGATACATGAATTAGGCCTTATGAAACCATCTGTACATCCGTGCAGTTTTCCAAGAATTCATACACCCTATCATGCTCTTTCTGGGTGTTTCTGATATTTTCAACAGAAATTTCTTCAAACTTCCTATCTAACACTAGTTTTTAAGTATTTTTATACTATTCGCCATCCACTAGAAAACTCCCTACCAGAATGAAGAATGTCCTTTGACAATGAAACATAATCTGCCCAGCTGTGGGGGAAGAGGCAGTGTGATAGTCTGGGCAAGACAGGAGAGCAATGTTGTACTGTCTAGAAGGTAGAGAGAAGGACAGGAAGTGTTGCTGGCCCAAAAAAGAAAAGCATCACCACAGGTGATGGAGAAGGAATTTGTAATGACAGGCCTTTTTCAAATGTTGGGAGCCAAAAATATTAATCGTTCATGTCAAGGAACATACTCCAGCAGTAAGGCTTGAGGTAATATTAAAAAAACACCACAGAACCTGAGAGAAAGCTATAGTAAACATCCAGTAAATATTCATCATGCCTCGTTTTATTTCATGTGAGACATTGGCATTGCTATTTTGCAAAGGCATGCCAAACAATAATTATGTGCATGCCACCCCAAACAAATACAGCCTGATAAAGGTCATAACCCATCATAAATAATGAAAGTTTTTCTATGGGTTTCAAAGCACATGGAATCAACTAACAGAGATGAACACCACAGGAGGTCTACCCATTCCCTGAATTTTTGCAGAACTGTAAATTTTGGGAACTAAAATTCAACAATTCATGGTAGGACAATGTTGATGGTGCAATTGCTATTAAACCTCTTTTCTGAAAAAACCCCCACACTTTCATTGTGAAAGGAGCATCTAACCTGGCAGTTTATTAATATTTATAGAATCATAGAATTGTTTAGTTCGGAAAAGATCTTTGCAATCATCTGGAAGATGATTTGGGAACATTAAAAACTTAGGAGTCAAAACCACTGTACATAGAACAGGTAGAGCACGAAGAGCTGCAGGCTCCACCTCCCCCTGCTGCCCTCTGCCAATATTCCTCACCCCTGAACTTGGCCACTTCAGAAAGCAAAAGCAGGATTTCATTCTCCAAGTTCCCTACAATCCCTGCTGGCCTCTGTCCTAAGGTTGCTTTCATGGGTTTCCATTTGTACTGTCAAAAAACATCAATGTGAGGTTTCAAATCCCATTTACTAATGAACTCTTTCATCTTTGTGAATGGGATAAAGGGATTCTTTGTTTGAAAATAAGGATTATTTTTTCTTGTTGTTCTGCTCATTTTTTGCATCTTTTCACAAGCTTTTTGTTTTCAGAAAACATTACAGGACAAAACCGCACCCCAGTTTTAACAAAGAGCCTGACATCTCCAATTTGAAGAGAATTCTTGCATATACCAAATTGCATGCTGCCTGCTGTTCAATTGTTTCACATCTCTTTCTTCTCCCCAAATCACCAGGTGAGATTTAGGAAAGTCTCCCCAATGTTTACCAGCTCTATTAAAATCCAGATCTCTCGCAGAAGCTCATAATGAATAAAGTCAGAAGCCAACAGGAATGAATTGCAGCTAAAGTGATTTTGATAGTGATGATCCCTATAACCCGACTGCTTCCAAGCTTGGCCCTGAGGCAGGATTTTTAAATTAAAAAAAGAAAAGAATACACATACTTTTTAATCTGATTTTTTATTGTCATGCCCTGATTTTTTTTATAGGTTTTTGCAGTCTGGTTGGCTTCCAAGCTCTTGAAACTTGGTGTCCTCATCTTTCTTTCTTCTCTTCCCCCCATCTTGTAAATTTTGCATCCTAAAACCACCACAGCAGAAGTAAACTACATATTCTAAAACTAAGGAATTATGAGGTTCACAGTACCCTGCACATTCTTGCCCAAGAGATTTCCAGGCAGGGACCACTGTGAAACGACAATGTTTTGAAGAGCTGACAGGGCAAGTTATGACTTTCCAAAATCCAGTTTTAATCATTCCCTCCCTTATTTCTGTATTTTTTGGCAAAATGGAAAAGAACATTTTTAAAAGGCCAATTAACCCATGCTGAGTAATCTGAAAATGAATGCACTCAAAACAAGGGCCTTAAAAATTAACAACCAAACAGGTCTACAAAGATTTTCCAGACTCTCACAGACTGATCCTCTCCACAAAATACTCCCCTTTCTTTGTGGAAATCCTTTACAATTCTGGGTGCCAGGGCCAGACACTTGTTTTCTATCACTGCAAAATAGCACAGGCTGAAACCCCCCAGTCAGCAGATATGCTTGGGTAATGAGAAGCATGTGATTACCTGGAGAGGAGCAACTAAGTTCTAGTTGGACAGAGACACGCTTGAGGAATCTTCCCTCTTTAATTTGTAAGAAGCAGCAACCTAACCCAACAACATGCTCTCAGCTTCCTCTGCCTGATTGCATTATCACAACCTTAACAGAAAAATGCTCTGTTTCAGTGGTAATTCCCAAAGAAGGGAAAAGGTAACCCCTGAGGAAGTCCTGCTTATGACATTATGGAAAGAGCATCCAACTGGAAAACCTGGTCCACAACAGGGAATGTGTTTTCAAGAACCCCAGCACAACCCAGCAGCATGTTGGTGTACTCACAATCAGATGACCCTGTGTGTGCGTGCAGGTTTGTTGGTGAATGTGGAAAGTGGATGAGGGCCGGGCTCAGAGACGGAACAGCTTCAAGGTTCAGGCAGGGAAGGCCCGGCTTGGCGCTGCATGCACCCGTCTGAGTAATCTCATTCTCCTCAGACGCCTTCTGGTTTTCAGCTGTCTTGGGTTTCTTCCTGAAAATAAACAAAGAGACCTTTGAAGGGACTGACTGCATATTTGGGAAAAGGCATTTTTAGAATCTGTTAAAGATAACTTTCTTCCCCCACCACCACCCCTCTCTCGCCTCTCTTTTCCCTTACAGGGAAGGAGGCAGAGAAGACTTTCCTCCATGCTTCTTGTTTGGAAACAAGCTGCTCCTTGTTTTGACTCTGATGCAATGGCCCTGAGACTGTATTACAGCAAATAGGCCAAGCACGAAGCTCCTCATTCTGCCCCTACTGATGACATATAAAATGAAACTCGTCCCAGTGGTTTAGACAGTCGGAGCTCCATTTGACAAATATTAACCAAGGCTGTAGTATTCTGAATAGAGAGAGTTATACAGAAATCTAACAGCATTGTCTGAAAAGCAAACAAATATGCAAGTTTCCAGATCAAAACAAATCAGTGCAGAGACTCACTTTGTAGGGAAAAACACTGAAGCAATTTTGAGATGCAGAGGTCATCCAAGTAAAGCACGAAGACTTGGAGCCTGGAATAACGGTCTATGAGCACTGTGCACATCAGCTCTCATCACCTCCCTTGATCCAGGACCTCCAAGGAATTAAGCCTCAGTGGTACATCATCAATCAGGTACTCAATCACTACCTTAGTTTCCACAGATGGAGAAACTGAGGCAAGAGGTGAAGTGGCAGGTTTTGGATGGCACAGAGAGCACCCTGATCAGGGAGGCAAGCACCTGTCTGTCTGTTTCCCCCCCTCGGTTACACAGGTGCGGGTGCTCCCCGAGGCCACTCGCAGCCCAGCCAGGGGCACTGCTGCCCTGGCCCGGGGCACACCGATGGCACCCCGGCAAACATTCGGCAGCTCCCGCTGCACGCCAGGGGGTGAGAACCGTGGTCACACTTGCAAAGGAGCAACAGGAGGTGCGGAGGTCGAAGCCATCCAAATAAAAACGCCGCTGTCTGCCGCTGACACTCGAGGTGCGAGCAGCGGCGGATCCCCCCGGGAGTGGGGGGTCATCCTTCCCGGGGCAGCGCCGCACACTGCGGGGCGACCACGGAGCAGGGGCAGCGTCCGGCCCGAGCAAGGGCCATCGCAGAGCACAGAGGTGCTGCTGGAGCCCAGGCAGCGCTGCCCGGCTCCCCGCACACATTGTCCTGCCTCTCATCCCGGCAGCGCTGCGCTCTCCTCCTGAAGGGCCAACGCTGGAGCCCCTTCTCCCCGTACGCCCTTGCCCCTCCTGCACCCCACCCAGGGCGGGCGGCGTGCAACCGACACGCCACGACACGGCTTTTGAGGGCCGGACCGGCCCTCTCCGTAGGTCGGTGTTACAGCAAGGCCAGCCCCAGTCCCGCGGGGGGCGAGGAGGGGCAGCGCGGCCCGGCCGGTTACATAAAGGCGTTACATAAGGGCGGCACGCCCGGCCGGGGGCAGGGCCGGGCCCGCCGCCATTGCCCGCGGCCGCCGGCGGGGGGCAGCACCGGCCCGGCCCCGCCGCACAGCCCGGGGCCAGGGGCAGAAAAGCTGCAACGGTAATAATAAAGGAAAGTTAAGCGGGACAAAAAGTAACAAAACAAAGCCCCCACCCCACCACCCCCGGAGGTGCTGGGTCCGGTTGGCCGTCGGCACCTGCCTTGGGCTGCCTGGCGCTGGAGGGATGCCCGGGGCAGAAAGGACGCCCGGTCCCAGCGGGACGGGGTTCCCGGGCGCGGCCGGGGAGCTGAGCTCCACAGATGGGCCATCACCAACGCGGGTCACACCGATAACCCCGCAGCTGCCGGCAGCCCTGATGTGCTTTGTCTTGCTAGGGCTACAAACCCCCACGCCAGGGGACGGGCCAGTGGCACTGCTGATGTGAACTACATGTCTGTAATCAATATGCTCAAAATACACTGGCTAAAACCTAATCTGATTTAAACCAACAGCACATGACTATATGGACCTTGCTTAAAGTTGTAGAGGTATAGAAAGGGGCCGAACTGATTTAGGTCTATTTTAAATAGAAGGAAAAAGCAAGCATTTAAAAGTGTATTTTTTTGCATGAAGAGTAAACAGAGCATCTTGTCACTCCAAGCTTGGGCATCTATCCGTCTGTTTCCCATTCTGTCATGAGAAGGATACATCTCTTGCAGCGTGAATGAGAATGCATGAGACATGGAGCTTTTATGTGGGCACATACATATTTTGAACTACATGGACAGCATATGTTTTGTTTATAACAGTCTGCATGGATCCTTGGCATGCAAACTCTGGCACACCTTTACATGTCTCATTTCCAGATCCCATGATGTTCCCATGTGCAACCAGCATGCACTAGGGGCTGCAGGAAATCTGTGCATAAAACAATGGGTTTTTACAGCATTGCTACCCAAGTAGATTTCAGATAGCACACCTTTTTGTCCAGGCAGCAAAGGATGTATGTAAGGTTGGACTCTGGATGCACAGGGCAATTAAGTTCCTTGCACCTGGAAGCTGAAGTGCTATATTTACGGTATGTTTTCAGCTCAGAGCTAAGCCAAGTTACATGTTTGGAATATAGCCTGTGACTCCAACTCTATCCACACACAAAGCCACCTACGCTGGGCAGGACATTGCTGTTATTTGTAGGGTGGGGGCTTAGTTCAAGTAAACATGACTTGTCAGCCACTAGCACAGCCATAGTTTTGCTGTTAGACCAAGCACTGACTGATGCTTCATCCTGTGGCTGATCCTGCATGTGCCTCACAGGCCTTCAAAACTCATTAGAGGGATAGGTTAAAAAATGCTATAGCAACAGGTAGTGACACCAGGGAGGCTGTGCAAAACAACCCCTGCTTCTTCCTTTCCAAAGCCATATATTTTCTACTTTGCTCTTGAGGTTGACACTGTGTTATCAAGATGCTCTTGTGTTATCACTTTTCCACATCAGAGTCCTGCAGCTTGATGACCTGTGCTCACTAGGATGGCAAGAATAGCAATAGTGCTGACTGGCACTAGAGACAATACCTCTCCACAGCCAGTTCATTTCTGTCACAGTTTAGACATGCTCTGCATCTCAGTACCACCTGAAAGGAATGCAGGCTTCCACGGGAGGAAGGCTGAGTAATGGAATCAGCCAAGTCAGCTAAGGATCTAAAGAAAGCTTCAGAAAAGAAAAATCCTGGGGAAACTGTGATCAAAACTACCTGTGAAGAAACCCAAACGAAGTTCTCCAGTCTGCAATGTCTGACTGCTGTTGCCAGCAAGGGCAAAGCCAGAACAATCCTGCTGTTGCTGTAAGTATATTGCAATCCTTTTATTCTACCTTATCACACATATAGAAAGCTCCTATTGTTATGATCTTCACCTATATATTCTAATTAAATAGTCTTACATTCTCTTATATAGTCTACTTCTATTGCTACATTATTACTATAGTTTTCACAGGGAGGGTTGTTAAGTGCTGAATCAGGTTGTGGAACCTCCATCCTTGGAGATTTTCAAAACTTAATTGAACAAGGCTCTGAGTAACCTAATCCAACTTGGAAGTCAGGTCTGCTCTGAGCAGGGAATTGGACTAGACACCTCCAGAGGACCCTTCCAACCTAATTTTTTTCTGACTGCACATTTCTTCTATGAATACTTCCATCAGCAAGAGCTCTAATATATCTCCAAGTTCCAGAAGCTAAAATAGCACACTAACTGTGGAAGAGTATGACTTGTTATAGCTACATGAAAAACCCTGAAAGAACAAGTGTAGGAGCGAAAATGAAACAAGTAATAAACATTGTTCATGGAACCTTCCCAAACAATACCTACTTATGTACCATCTCTGGACTTCACTGATTGGCAACCCTATGTGATTATTTCAGTAGTTAGGGTCAGTCTAGCTTGCTATTTTAGTTCTTGTGATTATGTTCTTCTCTACAGACTAATCCTGGAAACGAGATGTTTGCTATTTACTTGTTAGTCAGGGCAATAAAAGTTGCAACTTATTTACAAAAGACTTGGGAATGTGCTCTTAGAGCAAGGGGCTCCCTTCTGATATTCCAGTTATCTCTGAGCTCCTTCTCCACACACACGTGTGGTGCATTAGAAGTCCTTTCCAATACTGCACTCATTCTTAAAATTATCAGAGGGCCATCATTGTCTTTGCTTCTTGTGAAGGACAGCAGAAGGCCAATATAGCAAAGAAATGGCACTTCTGTACATGGACCTGATGCACAGACTCCCAGAAGTTGGGGACAGAAAAGATGATGACCTTTCTATGACTAATCCGAGTCTAGAGGGTCACTGCAGAATTCGTATTTGCTACTGATTTACAGGAGATTCATCTAGTCCGTTTCTAAACATCTTACCCACTCCACCTCTTTAAATTTTCTATACTATGTCCAGGTACTTTTGTTGGTATTCACTTTCACCATTCCCTTATATTTATTGTGTTTGTTTTCATTATGTTAATTTACACCACTTAAAATATATTCTCTTTTTTCTTCATTGTATGCTCTCCAGTACCAGTATCAGGCTAACTGCATCCACTGTTATCCTTGCACTGAACTGTGCATATCACTACTTGCCAGCTCATGTGTAAAGCAAGATGTACAATCACTGCCATAATTTTATTTCTGTTTTCTGTCAGTATCTTCATTGCATTGAGATATTCCCTCCTGTCCACATACCTTAACACTGCACTATCATACAACAAGGTGGTGGGCTACTCACAGTGCTGCAGTGACTGCAGTGATCTGGGCACTGGCTATAAACTAGAATTGGCTCCGTTCTGTTTAATTTGAAGGCAGAATGGGTAATATTTTGGATGTCCTAACCTCAAAGCTATCTAGAAACTAATTACTACCTCTGAGCTTTGGAATGCCTTTAAAACCTCTGCTACACTTTCTTGCTGCCACTCTTGCATACAGCTTTCTCTCCCTCAACCCTCCACTTGCTCTCCACAGTTGACTTCTTTGCATGTATCTCTCCCTTCCAACCACTGGAATGAATTTCCCCTGGTTGAGTTAACACGTTCTCACAGCGGGGCCAGCAAACCAGGTCCCTGTCAAAAATAGACAATGTATGTTGTACTTCTCACCCAGCAGCTATAACTAATGCTTGAACCTTCCCTTACAAGGGGAACAGATCTCCGTCCTGCAGAGACACCAGGTTAGCCATGAACAAATTAGCTCAGGTATAGGAGCCAATGTAGCCGCGCAGAGTCCACAGTAGCATCCTAGCTCTCAGGGGAAGCTATGATAATGTGACTGCACGAGAATAATACTACATAATGAACAATAATGAGGCAGTTTTCAGCCTCTGAATACAGGGAGGGCTGGGTCATCAACCAGACCTTTGTTCATTGCATATTAAACAGCATGGAGGGAACACACCACAGGGTTGCTGATGTTATGAGTGTTGCTGCTGGCTGAGTCTGCCCACCCATGATCCAGGCATTATTTCACCTCCTCACAGATACGGCTTCACCTTATAGTAAGTGCCCTCAGGTCAGAGATGCCTGTAGTGTGCAAGCACTGCACTTAACTCACTGGAATACCATTTGTTTGTAACCTTAGTAATTCACAGAGGCTATATATAATTGAAAAAAAAAAACTCCAGCTTTTCATATCCTAAAAATAAGAGTGTGAAAATAGTTCATGTCTGATTTTAAGTAATATTTTTCCTGAGTGTTCTGCTGCACATTCTTCCTCTGCCTGTGTGCGGCTAACACAACTCCTGATATCAGTGCTTATCACTGCCAGTGTTGTGTCTCTTCCAGACGTGACATTGACAATACATATTTAGAAACTGACAAAGTAAAGAGAGAGAGAGATGAGTACAATCACTGAATATAAAACAAAAAAAGGCTCGAAAGAACAACAAAATGCACTGAAATCTGCCCAGAGACCTCACCTCAAAATTCAGGGCACACTGAACGCCAGAACTGAGGGTGAAGCTTCCCAAGATGAGCTCGCTTTACCTGAGCCATCACAGTTTTCCTGCTAGAAGTGTTGTTTAGTAGTTAAAAGTCCTGCACAGGCTGAATGCCTGAATATTCACAGAGCTTCTCTGATGATTTTGCAGCCACATTGATCTTCATGCTGTTGCAGCTACATGACTGGCAGTTTGTTTAAAATCTCTGATTGCAAGTTTGTGTCATACAATGGAAAACATAAACTCCTGAAAACATCGCCATAAAATGTAATATGAAAGAGAAATCCCAGCACAACACTGCAAAGCAAGAATGGGAGGCATGGAGAACTGACAAGAGAGACCCAATGTTCTAGTGCAATAAAAGCCTGGAAAATTTAATCAACATAGAAAAGTAACATAAATTCCAAAATCCCTTACAGGAGACTGATTAACATAATTAAATTAAACTCAGAGATTAAGTTAGAGTGAAATTTGCTGTGTCTTTTTTTTTAGGCCTGAAGTGGGGTTTATATGCCCCCGAATTCGTCTGTTTTTTCCGTCTCAACCACAAGTCTCTTGAAAGTTGGGCCCTGGCTACAAAACTTGCCTGACTTAAAGCCTCAGAGAATCTCAGCTACAGCAACACTGTGACAATACCACCAAGTACTGAGAACTGATCATAAGAATTTAAAAATAGGGGATCTACAGGGGGAAAAGTGCAAATAACAGACAACTGGTCATTTTACAGCATAATAAAACCACAATGCAAAGTCAAAATTCTCTCAGACAACTTTATCTATATAATCCAACCAAATCTAACAAAGCATAATGGCCTTAAATCATAAATGACTCAAGGCCTAGAAAGAACAGTGTAAACCTTTAAGGAGCTGCAGTAGATTTCATCTGTATTGCCTGAAACACTAGTGAGAGAAAAGGTGTCTCATTAAAAAGTTATAAGAATAAAAAAGAAGATAAACACTCCAAAGATAAACATGGATGAACCAACTAGAACAGCACGAACTAGAGCAGTAAGTAGGGAGAACCTGCCAAACTAAAAGATACAAGCAGATCAAACCAGCCATTGCTGAACTATGCTGTGAGGCTATAACTTAAATATTTAACAGTTTTTTATTGACATACTTTTTGCCCACGTATTTCCTTGCAAATTTCAAAAGCAAAACTTCGTTTACCCTCATCAGTAAGGCTTGCAGGTGCTGCAGTTTGTTTTTGTTTTTTTAAGATGTCTTTTTTTTGGTGAACAAGAAGTCTTTTATAAGAGATAAAATATACTTACAGTGGTTTCCAAATGGTATCACTCTTCAGGTAAATTACTCCAAGCCTTGGACCTAGTGCAGACGTTCATTGGGGCAGGGAACAGAGAGAGGCTGTGTCTGTACCAGGAAGAATCAAAAGGAAAGGTCAGGGGCAAATAATAATTATTTACTGAGAGCAAGAAAATTTGCTACAACGCTAACTGGCATTCTCCACTGTCAGTACACCTGGCTGCAGCCTGGTAGCACCAAATTCTTTGTGCTTCAATCCCTCCAGCTTTGGCTACAAATTACCACAGAGTCAGTCCCCGGTTATCCCAGGCTACCCATACAACGAATCTGGTGAAGCGAGGAGGAGAGGGAGGATTAGCCAGCAAAGTGCTATCAGTAGGATTCATTCTGAGAAGCTGCTCACTCTAATGGCATGAGCACGGAGTAGTGATGGGAGAGCTAGCACAGACTTGGCATATTCAAGTGCATCTCATCAGAACAACAAGGCTAGTCCTGTTCAGAGGAGCAACAAATGCTTCCTCAGGACTGAAAGGCAGGAAAAGGAAGGAAAAAAATCCTCCTTCGTGTCTTTTGCTGTCTTCACATCACAAAAATGATGGCTCATATCAAAGCAGAAACCCCACTTATCTCCCATCAGCCACTAGGTCTATTGCAGTGACACCGGGGAAGTAACTTATCGTCAGCCTTGCAGGAAAGATTCAGCTCAGCAGCAGTTTTACCTCTGAAATCTTCTCAGCTAAAGAGAGAGTTGGAACCAATGGACTAATATAGAAAGGGATCCACAGAAAAACCTCAGCTCCAATATTTATTAGAGGGAGATTTCGCCATCCAGACCAAAGCTTTTGGAAGTATTTACATTTTTAGGGGACTTGAATCTCTCTCTAGACTAATAGAACTCCGCCTTTGCTAGCTTCCTATGATCCTTGGGTGGTTCATTGTGGATGTTGGAAGTATGTCTGTAGTTAACATCCAGGGACAGAATTAAATCCTGCTTACTCCACTTATGCAAAGAACTCCTGGGACATCAGCATATTCAGTCCTACCCACAGTGAAGCCACTGGTGCTATTTCCATGAAGAAATGATTTTGCCTACTCTGATCAGACAAGAAAAGAAAATAAATATTTGCTTTATCAAAAAAATCCAGAAGGGGAACAAAAATTTTAAGAGATGTAATTGTTATTTCACAGGTAGCTAATGTCACTGTGCAAGTTGGAATTTATGTCTGTAAATGCAAAACAATAAAAAAACCCCACTGTTCATGCAGCAGGAACACTGGAATGAGTGCCAACAGACACAATGAAGGATTTTAGATGACACTGTAATAATGTACTTCACAAAATATACATTTGGTTTTATGTTCAATTCACACATTTTGTAATGATGATGATTATTAGTGACTGGGATAGATACTACATTCTGATTTCAACAGGTCACATGAAACCTGGCAGCTACACTTCACAGGGGCTCAAGCAAACACTTTCTTTGATTCCAGTTTTTGTAGGTTCTTCCCTCTTGGAGTCTGCTTTGAATTGCAAATTAAGTAAATTCAAACACACACACACACACACAAAAATCCTCAACTTAGCCTGAACCTCTGAGTTTCACCAGGGCTTGAGAGAGGAACCATATGTGAGCATCAGGTTAGCTCAAAAGAATTACATAAAACAGTGACACCTTTCACCAATACCAAGAATTGAATTTCAAAGGCGCAGTAACGCCCAAGGATTCTGTAGATTTAAGCCCTTGCTAACACTCAGCATGGCTTACTTTCAAGCTCTCCTTCCCACTTCCATATATGCCCCACCTGTTCTATTAATGCTGACCTTGTTTCTTTTATCCACCTTGCACACATAGGTCTGTCTTTTATCTGGCTATTCCTCACCTTTTCAAGGCACAAATCCCATGTGCCCTAAAGACTGCCTAGTACTTCAGTTAACACACATTTTTAACTTGTACTAGAAGCAGAAAAATCACAGGATTGGGTCTTTAGTCTTTACTTTGCAGAACTCCTGCTCACTTCACTCCTAATTTCACACAAGAGAAGCCTAAGAACTGCATGTACTAATCCTGCATATTTTGTCACCTTTCCTTTTTTTTTTGTCATTATTGCTCTTCTAATCTCTGGGATCCCAATCCAAGTAGCTCTCTCTTGTAGCACTGCCTAGCACTCAATCTGGCTTCACATCAAGGGTCAGGCAGACAAGTTGTTAGAGATGGGCTGTTCAAAGTCTTCTACAAAATCTGGGCGCAGAAATCTCTGTGAAAGGCAATACTTAAAATATCTTCATTTTGCTCCATATTTTTTTTCCTATGGCCTGGGAAGAGATACCTCTTTCCTCCAGTGTAATGAACATAAAGCACAGAGATCCTCATCAGTTGTTAGGTACTTTTAAAATACATAAAATCAACAAAGCTGATGGTGTTTCCGAAGACATGGGGGGTGCAACAGAGAAGGAAACACTTTTCTAGAAGACTTAGTTTTGGGAAAAGTTAGAGGAAAAGGATCTATGACCATAAGAAGATTGGGCAAAAAGAGAGGCAAAGCAGGACAACAAAGGAATGGGATGTGTGACGGTGGGTTAAGTAACTCCCCTCCTCTCTACCTGGGCTCCTCTATCTGGAAAAACAAAGCCTTACATTCCTGCTCCATGAGGTACTGTGTGCTTAATTAAGATCCTGGAAGATAAGTTTTCTGCATGAATGCATTCCAGAAATGCAGACTTCTATTACTTAAATATTCCCACTAATGGTAATAACTTGGGCATTTTATATATGCTCACTTTTATCCCACCTTGATCTTTCCAAGCTTTATCTGTTAATTTAGAGGGTGTAAGACACATTAATTCTATCAGTGTTTTTATTAAGGAAGGTCCCTTTTATGATAGCAGTGATGTACTACAGATTGTGATTTAAGATGTACACTTTAGGTCAGTTTTATACTGACTTCAGTGCAGTTGCAGTGGGCATAAAGTCAGGAGAAAATGTGGTACTTTACATAATAGTGCTGATGATTAATGGACTCCTGGACCATAACTCTATATTCTGAGGCACTGATCCTCCTTTTCCCTCCTGAAATTTGTGTCTTGACCCTTTCATCTCTTGTTAGCTACCTTTCCAGAGCTGTTCATTAATCAGCACCATTGATCTGATGTGGTCTGTCATATCGTATTACTTAAAACACACAGAAGCAATCATTGGCCTGACTCTGCTCCTTACACAACACACCATCATATTTCCTTTACAGATGACTTAAATATTATAAACATCAATTTACTGCTGGTGCTTCGTCCAGAAATTGGCTTTTTCTAGATTGGCTCCCTGCAGGACATTTCTGTCTCTCCCCCTGGATGTACTTCTGTCTGCTCAGAGATACCATCAAACACCTTCAGTATTCCCTGTTTGTTAGGGGCACTCATATGTCTGACCAGCAAGGGACAGTCATCAAAACAGGCCTTTCTTTGCTTGAGTACCACAGTCTCCTGTTACTTTCTTTTAGTGAGTCCTGATCATGCAGACTCAATATTTTTTACTTAATTGCTATTTATTTTATCCCTGCAATAGTCTTCTCCCAGATATCTTCAGAATTCTGCTTCCTTCTGCCTTTCCTGTGATCCCTAGTAATGAAAAAATTAAAAGATGAGCTTCTTGTGAGCTTATTTCCGATTATTCTTATTTGCTGTGCTTGTACAGTGCTGTCAGTCATGAGGCAATGGAAAATAACTTGATTGTGCCTTAGAAGTTACCATGTCTGATCTTAATCCACATATTGTACAGGTCTCCTGAGTAAGGTGGGGTCAGTTTTAATTGATGCTTTCACAGTCATGATATATTTTCAGGCTGGGCTCTCTAAGCTAAATCCAGTTCTTTTTTGGCCTCTTTTTCTCTTTGGAAGTAGCAGAGGAGACGAGAACATCAATGTTAACCATCAGTAAATATTCAAGAATCAACTTTCTGCATGAAGTGGGTTATTCCATATACACTTTACTGTTTCTTATTCAAAAGAAGGTACATCCTCTGACTAGGACTGACTACAGTATTTATGTTACATGAATAAGGTTAGTCCACTGGCTACCTATAGGTAGATATCCAACCCCAGTGTCTAATACAGAGATCAAGACAGACTCTGATACAAAAACCACCATTCCAACAGATGCCAGAACTTGTGCCATAGAAAACATAAAAATTTAGCAACACAGGATATGCTATCAGAAGGCCATAAGAATGATTTTTTTTGCAATATTCAAGGCTTCATTTAGGACAGGAAACTGCTCATTTTTGTATTCTACTGGGAACACTGTATGTCCACTATCAGTATGGTCTGAAATACAGAAATTAATTTGTTAATGGATTAGACATTTGCAGAAAGACTGTTTAAAGAGGCTAGACTGCTCTAGCCTGGTAAAGGCCAATTTCCCACAAGGACATGTTTGCAATAGTACTAGAGAAAAAAATCTCTCCCTGCAGTCCCAGGGGTACTTACTGAAATCCAGAAGAGCAAAGTAGTCTGTTGGAAAGCCTACATTATGTTCCCACTTTTTGTCTTACAGGCCCTCTATTATTTGTCTGCATCTGTTTCTTTTTCCCTTCTTTCACTGCCTTTTATCTGATAGTATAGAATTTCACTGCTCTTAAGCTGCAATTCTTTTCTTAAATTTGACTTTGGCACTTGGAATAGGCATTTTTAAGGACTCACTTTTGTCTGTTTGTTCTTCTGGTATTCCTTTTTATTTGTAAGCAGTACTCTCAATGTAACAGCTACCCATACCTAAGAGCTCAGGTCAAAAAGGATAACTCTTCTATTGACTTTCCTTTCCACTTCCCATGCTGAATGGCCCCTCCTACCAGGGACAGTAGTACAAGCCCTTAACCCTGAACATTTTGAATAGTTATCTCTCATTTAAGATCTAAATCTAGGTGCTGCCTATTTTTCCATGAATGAAGATCTCATCGCTCTTAATATGTTGGGTGTATAAACTCCACACTTGTAGGTGAGCCAGGTTAGATGGTGCCCAAGCACAGTGTGCGCCACCCTCTTGGCTGCACTGGCTGCACCTCTCTGTGGGTGGAGCAGAGTAAAGCCATGTTAGGCAATGTTAAGCAACTGTTT